TTATTTCATTTGGGAATTGCTAAGTGGATTAGTAAAGCATACGTCTATATGAATCTTCATGAGTCATGGAAGTGTGACCTGGAAGCCTACCTCAGGGCTCAGGTCCCTTCCTCTCTGGTGAAATTATTCTGCTTTGCTTACTAGCTACCCTGAGCTAAGGAGTTTTGTTCCTCTATGTTCTTATACTGTTATGTTCCTCTCTTGGAGCCAACCAGACATGTACTAATTCCCCAGAAACTGTCAGGCAATGTAAACTTCTCTTAAGTTACAAGTGCCAGGTATTGTTTCCCAGTGAAAGGCAACCTGACTAACACAATAACTGTTTGTTTGTTTGTTTGTTTTTACTTTTCATGAGTGAATATAGGTTACTGTGATATTTTTTCCATGTCAGAAGAATTCTTTCTATGTATTGTTTTAACAGCTGTTGTGTACATAGGTGTGTTTGAATTATATCTTCAAACCAAATTGCAAATTGTCAAGTTCCCTACATTCTTACTACTAGTTCATCAGCATTTATTTTATAATGATAAAAAGAACAACAGTAGTACAAATTTTCTATACAGTTGTTGCTCCCCAAGTCATATGTAGTATTGAAAACTTGAAGTGTAGTTAGTGTAAATGAGATGTGGAAATTAAAATTTTATTTAATTTTAATATAATTAAATTTAAAGGTAAACTAAAATCCTTCCTTGTGTATAATAAAGAGCAGGTCTAGATTATGCTTTTACCTCACTTCAAATTTCATCAATCCATTATTTTCATCATAGTAGTCAAAAATATTCCTGGTATATTAAATTATGTGCATCAATAACATAAAATGTTTTCACCTCATGTGCTGATCTTGCCATTGTTTATGCTTTTATAATCATAAATACCACTTTTGCTTTCTTTTTCAGCCATGTAGATTTTGCCTTTTCCCCAACCACATATGATCACTTCCAACTCAGTGATGTTTTTCTGTCCTAAATGTTTACCTTATAGTCAGGTGCTTATTTTTATTTTTATTTAGTCTCCATTTCAGATATCTTTACTTGGAAATAAACTCTGTCCATAAAAGTACTGCTTTATCATGCTCTACATTTATTCACATGTTGTTCTGCACGAACCATGTATCTATCTCCATTTGAGATTATTTACAAGTCTACTCATTAGACTAGAAGAAATAGAGACATTTGATGCATTGCTGGCATTCTCAGCATCAGGATTAATATCTGAGATGGGTTAAAAGCTCTGTAAGTAATTTTTGATGGTACCAATAACAAATAATATTAGATAAACATATATACCCATTTTCATCACTGTATTGTTTCATTTTTATTATGTTAATGAGCAGAATAAATTGAAATTCTAGAGACTCATGCAATATAATCTGAGAGAAAAGTCCCATGTTTAGTTCAAGTAAATCATGCCCATTTTTTTTGAAGAAAACATGGTTGAGTGCTTGAGATGTTTATTTTTGAGACAGGGTCTCACTATGTTCTCGGATGGTCTCAGACTCACTTTGTAGCTGGGGCTAGGCTCAGTATTGCAGTCCTCCTGCTTGTCTCCCCACAACCCCAGCCTGAGATTGTTAAATGGGCTGATAGATTCCTGCCATTCCTCTGCTGATGGTCAAGTGTTCTTTAACCAGCTGGTCTGCACTGGGCTCCTCTTCAAACCATCACGACTGTCGTCATCATCATCATCATCATCATCACCATCTTCATATCTCTGCCACTACTGAACATTGAAGACCTGTGCACTGTGAGGAAGGCATTTCTATGTGTGTGTGAATTAAATAGTTTCTGAACCACTCAGTGTGGGGCCTGTGCAAAATGCTTGGTACAAATTTCATCAAGCCAGAGTATAAAATAATAAAACATCATCATACATAATATTTTCATGCCATTCACTTAACTTTGGCCACAAATTCCATATAATTAATATGCTTTCTTATGTAATTGACAAAATGGTTATCTGTAGAAGGGACAAAAATCTTGTCTTTTTTCATGTTTTTCTAATGATAACTGTTGAAATAAAAATTTGTTGCCAACCAAGATTTTGAGCCAAAATTATAATAACAGCTAAAAGAAAAGAAGCTATGACTAGAAAGAAGCTATGATCTCATTAAAATAATTATTAAATTTCAGCCATTGTAATGCACAGCAGTTAAGGACTTAAGTCCCTGAGTAAAATGCTCTTCAAACATAATATACGTATCCAAGGCAAATTGTTTAGTTTCTCTGAGAAACAACTGTTATGTCAATAAAATCAGAATAATAACATAATCTACTTTACAAGGCTTTTGTTGGTTAATATGAATTAAAATGATGCATATGTATTTCCAACATGGGCTAGAATATATGCTTAGCAAATATCAGTGACAGCTTTTAATTTCAAATTTTTTTTCAAAATAGGTAGAAAAATAAAGACTTCATTTTATTCAACACATGCCAACGACAGACAGGAGACAATATATTTGTGACTATTTAGCTTTGTATTTAATATGATACCACTTATGGAATATAGTACTTATGAGAGAGTTTGGTCTCAGACAATGATAAGCACACATATGTTCGGGTTTCTTGTAATGGTATAGAGACTAAGTATCTTCTAGGACATAATGACATGAGTATTGATAAATTGATAATATTAACTTCTGCCCTTCATATGCTCAGTAATAATTGATACAATGATTATAGTGCTAGTCTGATTTGGTTCTCTGAGAGGCATGATATAAGCTTTAAGAATAAAAATGAAATTAAAAAACTTATAAAATATAGTTAATGGCATACCATTAATATTTTGAATCTCTGTCTGGTCCTCTGAGGTGTGAGAGAGAAAACAGAGAATAAAAGAAAAGTGGCATTTATCGCAGGCACAGAAGGGCTGGCTGAAGGAAAGCACCCTTTGGAAGAACAAAGGAAAAAATTGCATGCTTATTTGGAATTGATAGGGGCGGAGTAAAAGGAGCCAATAGAATGATGTAATGACAGCTGATTGGAGGAGTTTTGGCACGTGAGCAAAAAGCGGGAGGTTTAAATTTTAGGTTCCACAGAAGAATGTGGTAGGCAGTGCTAGAGGGCGGTGCTGTCCAGGGTCATGTTCACTGGCATATGGGAAAAACTCATCCTTGTTTTTACTTTTACAGTACAAATATCAGTCATTTATTTACAAATCAACATACTTAATTCTGGGGGCATTTATAGCCTGTTACTTAGTAATATGAATAAAAATATCTTTCTCATATTTTAAGATCTGGTACGAAAGTTATAGATATTCTTACTCCTGAATCAAAACTGCTTGGATTGCTAAAATGATAATTTTCTGATGGACAGATTAAGAAACTATTGTGTAAGGAACATTTCTATACTTTAGTAAGAAAAAGAAATGTTTTTTTTGTTACTCAGTGAACTTACATGTAACATGCCCTTTAAAGATGCCTATAAAAGTATCTGTTTCCGGCTGGGGATTTCACTCAGCGGCATAAGCGCCTGCTTGGCAAGCGCAGGTGGGTTTGATCCTCAGTACAAAAAAAAAAAAAAAAAAAAAAAAAAAAAAAAAAAAAAAAAAAAAATCTGTTTCAGCAGAAAAGCTTTCCAGTCTTTTAAATTTTTAAGGAGTTCAACATATTCCCTCCCATTAGTTTAAACCATGTGTATAGACTTGTCTTCTGTCTCAAAAATGTCTGTGTTGAAGAAGCCCTAATACCCAAATGACTGTGTTTGAAGATAACTTTTTAAGGGAATACTTAGGATTGTGTGAAGTCATTAGGATCTTAATCCCACTGGTCTGGTGTATCATTAAAAGAGGAAGAGACACAGAACTCTTTCTTTTTCCAGTACATGCAAAGAAAGGTCATGTAAGGACTCAGCAAAAGACAGCTGATTTAGGCTAAGAAGAGAGTACTGTGAGGAGTCAGATAAACCAGCACATTGATCTGAGACTTTTAGCTTTTAGATCTACAATATAAGTTTCTATCACAAGCTAGCCAATCTGTGATTAGTTTGTTATGGCAAGTTGTGCTGACATAGTTGTGAGAATTAAATGGAATTTAGATGCCTGTCTCCTGTTCTTTGCACCATAATGTCTTCGAAATGTCTCTGTCACATTTTATGTTTTTAAAAAATCACCTTTTAAAATGAATATATAATGGTATATGGCACTTATTAGAGGTGGGAAGATTTTGTGTGGCCCTGCATCTTCCTCTTATTTGTAAAAGTACTAATAATTATCATATCCCAGGATGCTTAGGATATTTCAGATAACCATATAAAGCTGTTTGTGACTAATACACCAATATAATAGTGGTAAATTTTGTATCTGATACAACAATTTTATTTGATAAAATACTTAATTACCTCAAGTCATCATCTTGCTAATTTCTGACACTGAATTTAAATCATAAAGATATGTCATTACACAAAAGCTATTATTTTTTATAAAAGTACTTTTCTGTGCTTTTTTGGGTTGGTTTTCTTTCTGATTAATATTGTTTACACTAAAATTCTTATATTTTTATGAACATAGAGGATCGTTTATCTTTCTAACACATGCATACACATCGGTCATTGATTGAGAGGGAATATAGCCTTATCATTAAGATCACGGTCTTTCCAAAGAACAAAATCTAGATTTTAAATTCACGGCTGTTATTTATTCTATTGGACTTTGAACTGTCATATTTGTTGTACAGTTTGTAGTTTATGAAATAAAGATGATAATATTACTCACCTCTTTGAGCATGTTAAATCAATTAACACATTTAACATAGGTTAAATAATTACTGACACTTAACAAGCTAAATAAACATTAATTGCTATTTGCACATTAAAGCACTTACATTTTTGTATATATCTGGCTTTTAAATACATGCAATTATTTTACTTGAGACTAAATCTCATAAGCTTAGTGAATAGCACAATATTTCTTAAAATGACAGTTCTCTGTTTCAAGAGTCACTAAATATATTTTATTTATTTAATAGACAAAAAGAATTTTATTATAATGTGTATGTACAATACTGTCTGTCTTAGTTATTTTTTACTCATCGCTGAAACAAAAATATCTCATGCCAAAGTTGGGAAAGGAAAGGTTTTTTCTTATAGTTTTTGAAGTATTAGTCTGTATTTAGTTGGCTCCAAGGCAGGGTGGCATGGCAGGGCTGCAGTTTATGGTGGCTGCAAATAGAAGGTGGAAAACAGTGAGAGACAGACACACACCTTCCTACTGCCATTACATTGTATGCTGGCTCCATCCCATGTGGGTGTAGCACTGACACCATCAACCCAAGCTCTAGACAATGAACCAATCACAAATGCACAATGCAAGTGCATGAGGCCTGGGGGCCACCAACATAAACCATGACATTCTATCCCTGGCCCACAGTATTCATGTATATCTTTATACAAAAGACATTTATTCTATCTCTAAGAATTGCCAAAGCCCTAAGAGATTTAGCATTGCTGAAAAGTCTGTCTCAAGTCTCCTCCAAGATCTATGGCAAACTTAACTGTAATCCTCTGTACAAGTGAAACAAGGTTAAATATTTCTTAAATGCAAAGGCACAAGATAAACATTACCATTTGAAAAGTTACAAATGGGAATATAAAGCATTAGAAACAAAGAAAGTCCAACATCCAGCAGGACAAACATTAAGTCCTAAAGTTTTATGCTCAGCATTTGAAGCAATCTGGTTGTAAGCTCCAAAAGGCTTGGCACTTTTAAGGACTTTAGCTCCTGCAGCTTTTCTCTTAAACCCTCTCTGCTCTCTTTTTGCAGCTTTCCTTGGATGCTCCAGTGTTTGACTTTTCCAAGCTTTTGGGATCTCCACTGCACCACTGACTTTTCCCTTACATCTTTATTAATTGTCATCTCAGGGGCATACTGTGTAGTCTCCCAGGCCTTTTTCAGTTGAGATGGAAGCCGTTTTACCCTTAGAATTTGTGTAAAATTTTTTGTACCTAAAATTTGCACCATTTTGATGCTGCCAAGGTTCACTGCCAGCTGGAGCAGTAGCCAGGATTTTTCTCTCTCTTGGCTCTCTCAATTGCCTGGATTTCTGGGCTCTGTGAACCTGATTGTGAAGAAAAGCTTCTCTACTGCTGCCATTTTGGAACCTGGTGTGACTGCCATCATTTTGGAACCTCATGAGGCCTCTGTCACCATTCTGGAGCATGGTGCTTTGCAACTTTCTCCTCTGAGCAAATTCTTTCACTTTTGCAGTTTTGAGGCTGCAAAGGGTGGTGACCAGCTGCTTCCTGGGATGCCCTGTGGCTATCTTTTTTATATCTCTGTTTCTTCTCAGCAATCAGAGTCTCAACTCTGTCTTTATACTCCACAGCTTTATTGGAGTTTTCCTTCTGGCCAAGCTCACAGCATTTTAAATTATCCTGCTGGGCTCTTTGCTCTTGATTTGCAACATAAAGCTCGCTAAAAGTCCCCAACAATAGACATGCCATAGCCTCAACATTTGACTGCCTTGAAATTTTCTTTGCCAGATTAATCAGTCCATCACCCTTAGCCTCAGTCTCAGGCAAAGTCTCTGGACATGAGCAAAATGTAGACAAACTTTCTGCCAAGCCATAACAGACATCATGGAGAGTCTAAGGACCAATGCAGTCCTTCTTCCCAGCAGAAACTTCCCAAGCCTGGTCATTACCATCAGGCTTTTTATCGGCCTTCTGGTCTCCTGAGCTCTGAACAGAATCTCCTCTACAAAATATCCTAAGCTGCTCCAGCTATATGCATCTAGGCGATATGTCCAAACCTTTCCAAACTCTGCCCACAAGCCATTTCCAAAGCCTCTTGAAAAACATGATCAGGTATAGTCACAGCAACAACCCTACTCTTGGTACCATATTCTGTTTTAGTTACTTTTTACTCGTCGCTGAAATAAAATACCTGATGTCTAAAGTTGGGGGGAAAAAGGTTTATTCCTTATAATTTTTAGTGGTTTTAATATATATTTAGTAGGCTCCAAGGCAGGTTAACATGGCAGAGCCACAGTTTATGGTGGCTGCAAACAGCAAGACAAAAACCAGTGAGAGGAAAAAGCACACCTTCTTCCTGCCATTACATTATACACTGGCTCACCACATGTGGGTGTAGCACTTATACCATCAATCCAAGTGATAAGCAATGAACCATCACAAATGCACAATGCGAGTGCACGAGGCCTGGGGGCTACTGACCTACACCATGACCCTGACAAGTCATAATGCTTGGTAATGAATTATTTCTCAATTATGAAAAACATGCAGTAAAAGCCTTGGTTTTGGCCAGACTCTTGGGAAAATCAATTTAAGTTCTTTCTGTTCTGTGCAAGTGTTCAGGATAAGAGCAGGGGATATGATTTTGCCTTGTCTAACCCTAGTTGAGACTCTGTTCATGTGCATTTTCTAGGTGTGACCTATGTTACACTTCCTTGACTGTATTAGATGAATTCTAGTAATCCCTCTGGCTTTAATGTTACTTACTGAAAAGAAAATGATCTAATAGTCATTGTGCATTGTGTTTAATTGCATTATTACAGCTTGTGTATAATTTGCAATTATTCTGAGGTTTTCTTTGTTGTTTTTACTATTGTTGCATAGGACAATTTCAGGAACACATTCTGCCATGTGAAGTGACATGAAATTGTCCAAATGTTATTTTTCCTTTTGATGCACAAATGTTGGGATTTAGGAAGACAAGAAAAGTGGGTGAAATTTACTAAATAATAAGAGAAAACAAATTAAATGGCAAAAAAAAACTTAATTTCTTTATATTGCTTCCAGTAAAAGGTTGGTTGAGAATGGCATTTACATAGGGAAATGGGATAAATTAAAAATAAAATGCAGATCAGTATTAGTCAACAATGATAGGAATACAACACATGTATACACATAAAATCAAGAGAAAATCACTATGTGCAAAAACCTATTTTGAAATATTGCATTTTAAAATTTTCAAATTTTAGTCTTACCGGTATTTTAAATAGAGAGCCATCCTTCTCACCTTAGCTACAGTGCTTATGCTTATTTCATACAAAAAGGTAAAATTAAAATTAAATTTCTAGAGTAACACAGTGCACCACAAACACAGTGCCATCACTGTCAGGAGAATATCAGCTATCACAGACAGGACTTGACTGGAGAAATGTACTGACATATTCAAATGTGACTCAGAGATGAAAGCAAGAAATCTTTAATTCTGAAATACTCTCAAATTGTTAAATGGCTCTTTCACTATAGGGTATAAACAGTTTTGTTCTGTTGAATTGAGAAATAATAAATAGTGTCTATTCATTTTGAAATATTCTTAAGTTATTCTCCAAAAATATTAAATGTATCATTAAGTCTGACATTATATTTGTTTTTCATTTAATTTTTCTGAAATTAACACTTCAGTGTTTCAAAAAGCAAAGCAGACAATTAAATTTTGACAAGATGTGGAAAATAAAGGAATTGAAGGCTAAGCAACTATTGAAGCTCAAACCTTTGAGCTTAAATATATTTTTGCAGATGCTCTATTTATGTGGTTTACTTGATTAAAATAAATTAGATAATAATTGAAAAGAAATCTATTGTTAAATTTAGTTCCAGTATCATTAGCCAAACATTTCTGATGGTTTTGTTATTTACAAATAGACTGATAAAAATCAGCAGAGTATATACATTTTCAGAATAAATTAAATAACATAAAAATCATAAATTAATCTGGTATTGATGACTACTTAACTTTGATGATTTTACTCTATCAAACAAAATGTAACTTTACATATATACCAAGTACTCAGAAAACTGAAATGATAAATACTGTGCTGTCTCTATCCTACATTCTACTCAAGATATTTTGCATATTTTCCCACTTGTATATTTGTGCTCCTGAATACCATGTGACAGGTATATAGTATACCATGTGACAGGTATATGTGACATGTATATAATAGATATACATGTAATTATTTTGCTCAATTTTACACATATTCCTTTTTTTAAACATATGTTGCTGAATATATATTTTTCATATGATTGCTATGAATAATGTGTTTACAAGCTTTTTATAGGACTTGATAATTTTCTTATGGTAGATTTTTATGTGTGAATATATCTGTCTCAAAATGTTTTAGATAAACATACTTTGAAATGTGTCTTAATACTCCAGTGTAGTTTAGTGGATATGTTCATAAAAATGAGGCTTTGTCTGTATTGCAGGTATAGGGATCCTAGTAAGTATGGGTACTGAGAAGAACCTATCTTGGTATCTTGTGTTGGAGTAATCAATAGTTCATTGTATGTGCTTCGTGAAATCTTCTGCTGTAAATTCTATATTGTCCAGCCCTCACATACTGTTCTACAAAGGGGATTTACTTCAAAATGTCAAAAAAATTGTTACCAGCCCTAACTGTTTGCTAATTTCCACCTTCTGCTTCCACTCCAACATCTGCAAAGGTATCACTATTTGCCTAATTTAATCAACATGAAAATTTATATATTAATTTATATATTAATAATTGTTCATTGTTTTTACCCTACTTAAGTTTATCTGTTAATAATTGTTGTATCAGTTAATAATTGGGAGTAGGAAGGGATTATTAGAATGAAGGCCATGAGGATATAAACATAACAAATTTTATTTAATATGCCAATCAGGATGGATTAATGCAGAGCATCATGGGCAATAGTGTTTCAAGGGTTTTAATCCTCACTACACAAACTGCTTAGCACTGTTGGCTTTACCCACTGACTCAGAGTGTGAGGGCTGAAAACGAATACACATAAAGGTGTCTGAAAATATTTAATAATTTTTACATAGACATAGAGCAATATCTAAGTTCACAAATGCTTCCATGATCAATTTTGTTCACTAACAGAAGCATTCAGCAAAGATTTGCTGCTGTTGGAGAGTGCCATGTCAGATCACTACAAAACTATCATCATTTCCCCCAGAATCTTGGATTGAATTAACTTTGTGAAGTGAGGTGCCTCTGTACTCTACCCATCTGTGTATATCTGTCCGTTCTCTATTTAAACAAACTTCCTCTGACATTAATATAACTACAAATTCATGTTTTGAATAGTAGTTCTAAATACATTATGCTAGTCAGAGTACTTTTCTTGTTTATTTTTTCTTCTCTTCTTTTGGCTTTTGGCTTGACTTGTTCTTCTTTTTTAGATGTTTGAGGTGTAACATCAGG